ATTGCATCACATCTTGCGTCATACTGCTTTTCTCTGCATTGTATCTGATTGGCTGGAACGATCCAGGAATGACGTGTATCCCGAGGCTGTGCACGTGCGTCATTGCTCAAGGTCGATTGACTACCAATATCCGGAAACTGTACCGCACTGCTCCAGGGCAGGCGTGATCTTGTAGATCCGAATCACCACAAACACACAAACGAGAAAGGTAGGGGTGAATCACGAGAGCATATCTAATGAGATTAACCATTTAGGTTGTTTGGATAGATCGGGTTTCAGAGTAAGCATGGTTAGAGCCTCGGCGAATTTCAGTAACTCTGCGTTTGTTGTGTTGTAGATGACTTAAAATGCGTTAGTTGGAGTGACAATGTTAATGTTCGAATAATTGCTGTGTTATCAAAGATCTAAGTTTTCTGATCATTCGATGATGTAAAGGTTACAAACTTGTCGTCCATCGCTTTCTTAAGCCACATCGGGATGTGTTCGGCTATTCAGTATAGTAACTGCCTCTGTTCTGCCTGTATAGATGGCCGAGCATCCACACTCAAATTGATACATGCGATTTTATTTGGCGGAAAGGAACAGTAGTTCTTCCACTGATGTCGTTGTTATCGTGTTAACTGCATAATAGACGTGCTTGACGGCATAGTTCAACCACTTGCTGACTAATTCAGTCACGCCATCGCCGTTGTATGCCAACTTTATAAATGCTCTCATTTTGGGGCAGTTATTGGTTTTTATACTTTGAGTGTTGCTTTGCAATGTCTGACGATGAATGCAATTGGATATTCATTTGAGTGTAATACCTATTTCTAAGAGGTCCAAGAGTTCTCTGTGTCTCCTTTCATTGCCTACCACGTCATGAGAAGTGGTGATATCCCACCCAGTTTCAAATCTGTCTTCTGTAAACACAACTTGTTATATAATCTACTGCATCTTGTTGCTAAAAGACAGAGCAAATCCAAGGCCGGTTCTGTGGAGCGCCTTAGTGTCATTTTGTTATACAATTTTTAATAGTTTCATCTTGTTTAGAACATTTATTCTCGGCTTAATGCATTCATTTTCTGTTCAATTAAAATCAGGTAACCTATTACACACTTAAACAAGTTTATTCCTAAATTTGTGAATGCAGGTATTCCTCCGGATTGTGTGTCCTGTTTTTTGTACAGAAAACAAAAGAGATGATGTTCATCATGTTCACTCGGTTCGTTCAAGTTTCATCTCATTGCCCCAGTAGGATACGGAATGTTCTGGTTGCTGTCCTCATACCCAGACCACAACTTTTGCTTCCATTTTCACCATAACCACGGTTGTAAAAACCCCGACCAGGAGACGCGATCATATAGGTCACCTGAGACTCCTTGAATGGGGACCTCGGGATGATCGTAACCGGTAGTTAGATACACTGAGTGATTTGGCTGGGTATCGCAAACAGTTGCGCTCATGCATCTCTTCATTATTCTTGCAAACTTATTCTGTGTGAATTCTCTATTTTCTCTTTGATTCTGCTCACAACACTCCAATCTTCCCTCTGTTTTTTTTATTATCCCAATCGATAGCCTAAAAGCGGCAACCAAAACCGCCACTTAAAGGGGCATGGTTAATGGTAGTAGAAACGGCAACTGCAACAACCACCAACGTTGCGCACTAACAGAACCTATTAATGCCGAACTTTTTAATCGCACAAGATAAACCCGTCAAATAAGGATATTTCAATGTATACGAATATTTTTCTTCCAGGCACTGTTTCGTGCCGTAGCCATGATGGTACCGGATTATGCTATGATCGCCGAGATCTCGCTCTATTCATGTGGTTTCGTGAATGCCCGTCCACTAGCCGTGAAAATTGTGGCCACTTACAGATTGTGCTCGGAACAACTATCCAGTCAGGCTCATTACGATTACGGAATGCGTGCCGTTAAGTCGGTGCTCACGGCAGCCGGCAATCTCAAGGTAAGTGTCCTGCGTAAAAATGGTTCAATTGCTAACTGCTCCTTTCATTCGTGAATACATGGGTCGTTTCGGTGTTCCATTTGCGTGAATACCAAGAGCCTCAGTGAGCCTCGATCCCATGCTTGGACCCCACCAGCAAACTGTTATGTCCTGCACACGAACTAGGCTAAAGTCATCGCTGTAACCTCAGAGCTCGGCGAGGAGAGAGGAGTGTGGGTGACCTCCCCCACACGGGTGTCAATTCCACCGAAGCTCATAAAGTTTTACAATTGAAAACTCACAAATTCTTCTGAATAATCAATTATTGATAAAACATCATTAAACTGACTTAATTAGCGGTTAAAATGTGACTAGAAAGTCAAGAGTGCCTGGTGCCTCAGAACAATCGAATGGGCTAATCCAAGCTTGATACTCTAGACAGTCAGTTTATTTTCATTTTCGAATTTTTGAATATGATAATCCCGGGGGAGCACAGAAATCTCAGACTCAGGGATTTGACATAAAATGGCGTGTTACAGTGGCAGTCTTCAGCCACTGCAGTTGTGCGACAAGCGTTTCATACCAATGAACTCAATCTGTGATTTATTTGTGAACATTGGGGTATTCCAGCAACATTAGGTGATTTCCTTAGGAATCTATAGCTGAAGCCTTAAAGTTTCTGAAGTCTGTGACTAGAGAGAGTAGGACAGTGTGCAATTACGAAAACCAATTTGGCATTGGTTCGACCCCTCTTAATTACTCTTTCGGGATGCGATATCAGAAAACCTATTACAACCTTTTCTTCAATCTAGCAAGTAAATTTCATAACCACACGTCTCTCAATCCATTTTTTACGCCGCTTCTGTGGAGAAGGTAGCAAGTTTTCCAGGTTATCTAAATAAGCTAGGCACATCTACCCGGTCACCGTCTCTCCAACTTAGTCGAAACACCCTTGAGAAATTTAGCTCCGATAGATATGTGAATGTGCGGAGTTGCTATGGCCCCAACGCCAAAGTTCCGAACACAAAACAGCGTGCTGATCCAAGCCGATTTAATGAACACTGAGTCAGAATGCATCGATCGATCAGGTGATGGCCTAAAACTAGGTCGAGATGGCTGACGGGTAAACAGCCCGGAAGGGTGGGGATCACTGTCTGTCATGTTCGATTGTATCACGTGATTGAACGATCAACAAGAACGGATGGATGAATGAGGAAGTAAAAGCTCTCCTGACGTGACGACACCCAGTAGGACTCTTTCATCAGATGCGTGCCGTTGCCCATTCCGTGACAGTACTTTTGAGGAACGAAGCAGGCTTCGTCAAACTTCTGAAAGATTGGTATTAATGGTATTAGAGTATTCCCTAATGGGAACACATTCATTCACTGTTACTTTGATGAGATCATCATCAAGCTATAGAGGTGATTTTCCTTCAGTAGTTCAAATTTTAACATTATGGCGACACTTTTTCATCGTTTATTTGCGTAGTGAGACATTTTCATTGAACTATGGGTCCAACTGTTTACTGTGGTTATACAATGACAGATTCCTGACGGTGGAATACTTGGGGGATATCGTGTGGGAGTGTTTTTGCTTCAGTACGTGGTGTCAATTTTGCTTAACAACGCCATTCTCTTTCTTTCCCGTATTCAGTTAAAATATCCGAACGAAGATGAAGACGTACTGATGTTGCGTTCAATCATCGATGTGAACTTGCCCAAGTTCCTCAATCACGATTTGCCATTGTTCAACGGAATCACCTCTGATCTGTTCCCGGGTGTGGAACGACCGTCACCGGACTATGAAGTACTGAATGCGGCCATCAAGAATGCGTGTGAACGAACTAATTTACAGAACACAGATTTCTTCGTGGAAAAGATTCAACAAATTTACGAAATGATGATTGTGCGTCACGGATTCATGATTGTCGGTGATCCGTTCGGTGGTAAGACCAAGGCTTATCAGACTCTCGCATTGGCATTGGCCGAGATATGTGAAAAAGTAAGTGATGTGCAAACTGTGGCCGATTCTTCCCCTATCTGATTCGTCTATAATTCTTTTCTGAAATTTAACTCAGCTGCCAAAACTGCAGCCTAATACTACTTCCTGATAATATGAGTTTTCTATTTTGATAATCTACCGATGATAATGAATTGTTCTGTCTTTGTTTCGCTCAAATCGCGCTAAACGCGATAGAATACACGCATCAGACGAAGCTGCCAATTTCCTGATGCGAAAAATCTGTACACTAGGATGAAATGTTAGATAACGTTTTCAAAGTACTGCAAGTCAAGTAGTAGCTTTATGCACCCGTATAGGTGAACTTTCAGCATTTACATCATATTTGTGGATTCAAATTTACAAAATCATTACATAATCAAACTGAAAGCAGTAGATTGTGTTTGTCAGTGAAGCAAACGTTTGCGTAATTCTGTGGAAATTTTCTCCTAGTCAATAAGTAGACCGGACTTTATTCTCCAAATTGTCATTTTGAGGTCGCAAAGGACTCTTTAGCGGTTAATACTTTCCAAAGAATTATGGAGCGGGGGGGTGGATGGTGGGGGGGGGNGGGGGGGGGAACAATTTCAAATGTTCCATTCAAACAGTACGTGTCACCCCTAGAAAATTTGAAGTACTTAAACGCATCACATCTAGTCTCCTTTTTTCCCGGCCGCTCCATCCTGTCGATTAATTGGAAAGAAGGCCAGTAACAGAAGAATAATTTTTATCTTGTTCATAGACTCCGGAAGATGTTAGGTGAATTCATGATAGGTGGACACCATAGTCACAGTTTACATTTTTGATCGAGAATCGCTCAAATTCAAAGTCAGTTTTAATATAAGAATTACTTACAAGCTCATCCATCTATTGTCCCCATAGGATATTTACACAATTGAATCGTTTCACGGCAAATATTACATACTGTTCCAGGTAGGAGGTTATAGAGTATGCAGGCTTCAATTAATTTGCGTTTGTTTTAATGGTGTAGGAATGTGAGGTGTACCAAGGTTTCATCGAGTCTTCGTTTGAAAGACTCAATAGTCAGTGCACAAATGACGTCAGATGGAAGGGTGTTCCAAGTACTGCACGGTCTCACTGCAAAAGATTGGCGCCGGCATTCCAGTCGACACTTTGGAATCATTAACTTGAAACGGTGTCCCCTAAGGTGAACATTGTTCGACAGCGTGAGCAGCGGCCGATATGGATGGTTTGGGTTCTGCAGTATTTGATACGTAAGCATCGATTCTCCCCAAATTCGGCGATACTGAGCAGAATATAGTCCCAATGATCGTAATCTCTCCTCATAGGTGAGGCAATGCAATCCCTTGACCATCTTGGTGACCATCCTTCGTGGACGCTCAAGCATCTTGCGATCACGTTGCAACCATGGTCTCCAAGCTTGAATGGTGTACTCTGTGTAGGGTCGAATTTACACTGATAGCAAACGTGGGAATAGTCATGATTCAAACCGGCCAAAGACTCACCGAAGTAAGCTTACATTCTTCACAGCAGCGGACGAAGCCTTAGCGCAGTTGTTGGAGCAGCTTAAATCCCATTGAACAACAATACCTAAGTCTTTTTCACTTGAATTATGTGGTAGCTGCTGATTTCCGAGGAAATACGAGAATCTTCTCTTGTGGCGTAGGGAAAGGACTTTACATTTAGAAACATTGAATTCATTGTCGTTCTCCTTAGTCCATCGATGATGGAGCAGTCATTTGGGCCAGACGGGTGCACCTGTGATCACTACCAAAACATACTTGCTAGCGCTTTTTGGTATTCCAAGCTGGAGAGTGAGAAATGGAAGCCAAACAAAATGATTGCCGATCGGATATCCTGCCGAAGTATTTAGTGTCGTACAGCTATGAACTTCCTGTCTAGTGAGCAGCAAAAGTAGCTACCGTGATACTTCTGAACTACTAAACAAACCCTCCTCCATATTTTCTAGGGTCTGATGGAAGAAAACAAAGTTCAATATACGGTGATTAATCCCAAAGCAATAACTATGGGCCAATTGTATGGACAGTTTGATCCTGTGTCACATGAGTGGTCTGATGGAATTTTGGCCGTCTCTTATCGAGCATTTGCCACCTCAACCACACCGGATCGTAAGTGGTTGATTTTTGACGGACCGGTTGATGCAGTTTGGATTGAGAACATGAACACGGTGCTGGATGATAACAAAAAGCTTTGTCTGATGTCTGGTGAGATTATTCAGCTTGCACCGACCACCAACTTGATTTTTGAGCCGATGGATCTGGAAGCTGCTTCACCGGCCACGGTGTCTCGTTGTGGTATGATCTACCTAGAACCGGCAAGTTTGGGATGGCGTCCGCTATTTCGGAGTTGGTTAAACACTTTGCCAGTAGCAATCAAGCCTTCCCATAAAGAGGTCTGGGAAGACATGTTTGAGCGATTTGTGGACGCTGGAATCGCCATGGTTCGTAAAGGAGGAGGCAAAGTAAGTATGAAATTGATCGAATAAATTTTGATTTGTAATCAAACGACATGATAGATAGATACACAGGCAGCGAAGTAGACAGATAATTAACTGTTGCTCTTTATATTTATGCATCAATTGCCTTCAGATAGTAATAAATAACTTTCAAAGTTTT